TGCTTTTCGTGTTCAGAACAATACGAGTTTTCCCACAGGGCTGTCCTTCACTGGCAGCGAAAAAGAAGCCGGTGCGAACGGGCGGTGCCACCGCCTCTAGTGGGGGGATCACGGGTGATGTGGTCGGGCGGGGGGCCTGCAGGTGCCCTTGCTGCTTGTGGGCACAGAAAGTCCCCGCAGCTGTCCGTCGGGGTTACGGTGTCTTGAGGTGTGTCTGCAGCCGGGTGGCAGCGGTTCCCATGAGCACAGCGCGGCCTGTGTCAAGCCGCCAGGGCCTGGTGGGTGGTTGTGCTGCTGGAGACCTCGCTCTGTTCCCCAGCGTGGCTCTGCGGCCCGTTTTGGATGCTGTGCCTCCCTTCTGGTTACAGGCACAGGCTCTCAGAAATTTAATGCTGCGATTGAGGGGAGAAGAATATGCCAAGTGTCTTCTTCCTCTTAATGCAGAGCATCTCTTATATCCACGTTCTTCAGCTTTGAATTTTCTATTGCCACTATGCAATGCAAGGAAAAAAAGAACCAGCATCATCAAAATGTAAGCTGAAGTACATCAATAAATACTTGAAGTACTTCACTGCTCGTAACTAAAGAAAATGTGTTCCTGGTGGGACCTAATTGTTCAGTTGAATAACATAATTTAAGGTTCTCTAGGGGATGCTCTGCATACTCCTCCTCCCCCTTCCTGTAGCTGTAACTGAGCATTTTCTTCAGTGAAAAAGCAAGAACATGCCTCCTTCACTTTCTTTTATGGGGACCATTAAAAGCTAATAGAGTGAAGAACTGAAGAGACCTGTAAGAGAAAGAACATCTGCATCTCTGAGGCAGGATGTGTTGTCCTTGGCAGGTGTTCGCCAGATCTGTTCATAAAAGCCTGCGCTCTGGGGTGTTTAATTACCATCAGGACAAAAAAGATACTACTATCATCTGATCTACACATAAACAAAATATTAATTCAAAAATCAGTTTTAACCCCCCAAAACTTTTATTTTAATCTGACTGCTGTCTTTCCTAGCTGCTCTGTCTCACAGGCCTGTACCAGCACCACCTGCCACAACAAACAGGACACCAGGATCCCTTCTACCTGCAAGTTTTCCATCCAATTGGTGCATGTTTTTAGTAATTTATTTTAATTTCTCTCTGTCCACATCCTTCAAATAGGAAGGCCACTGTGGGAGTGCTTGCAGACCTGCGAAGGACAGAGCATCCCTTCACGAGGCTGCAGGGGGCTTGTCGGGGACCCATCCTGAGACGACCCATCGTTGCGCTGAGCTCATCCGCCCCTCTCTGGAGGATGCACCCAGGCACAGCAGCTTTGGGAGGCTCTGCCATGTCCCGTCGTAGCAATTTAAACGGAATTCAATGCTTTATTACCTTATTTTAGTCCAATCGCCCACATTTTGGCTGGCCATCAGCGTCTCCAGATAGTCTCTCCCCACGTTGTAAGGTGGCCGCTCATTAATTTTCTGAGGTAGGTATTCTAATAAGCCAACTGGAATATACCTGTGGTGACACGTAAGGGCACGGTGTGTGATACAGGCTGGGTGTGTTAACGATCCTCTCGGCCGGGGAGAATTACCTGCAGAGGAACGAGAGCCATTCCAGCAGAACTTCCTCGTCTTCTCCACCCCCTGGGTATCGGACCCCCAGTGCTCGAGGCCATAGTTGGTGAAGTCTTTGAGGATATCAAACCTCTCACTGGAGGAGATATCCCAGTGTCTCTGCTCCTTAATTTCAGTGAAAAGCCACGGTTTGATGAGTGCCCCTCTGCAGCCAAAAAAAAAGTGCATGGTTATTCCCACAACCGATGCTTCGGAAGATGCCAACCAATTCAAGAGACTTTCCAGCGCTGACCTGCCAGCCAACGCCGCTTTATTTTTTTTTTTCAATTTCAACAGGAAGCTGCTGTTAAGTTCCCACAGATGGAAACTGATTTTAACAATTTTCAAAGAGTAGTTTCACCAAGAGGAAACTTCTAGTGGTTTGGGTTTGTTTAGGAATTTTTTTAATTCCTTTTTTTTTTGCTCTTGCACCAATAGCAAAGGGGAAACACAGGCACTTGCATTGCAATCATAATTCCCAAAACGCCCAGCTGCATGGCTCGATTAGCATCTTCGTAAGACAAAATATCACCATTGCCTGTGCAGAAGGGAGAAGCCAGAGGTCAAAGCGATAGATGTGGGCGAGTCAAAGTAAGTTAATCCAGGCATGGGATAAAATTCCAAAGGGACACGGGGGCCAAGAGCCAGACTGTCCGAGGAGGTTCTGGGGCTCCTGTTTGGAGACTCCCAGGGATGTTTCTGATTCATGTTCCCCTTACAAGGACAAGGAGCGTTCTCCTCTCTTATCCTCCCCTCCCCTGCTTTAGCTGGGACTGTCCGTGCCGCAGTGCCCAATGGAGAAAGGACCTACTAAAAACCGGGTGTTGGCTCCCTCTGTCGAGTCACTAGCAGCAGTAGGGATACTCCAACCTTTCCCCCAAGGTGAATGTCCTTGGGAGTGTGATTTTTTTTTCTTTTTAAGGATATTTCCAATCAAACACGCAGCACTTTCAGTCCACACGACAAAACAACAGAAACACCTACCAAAAAGAGGCATGGGGCTCGCTGTTTTAGCACACTCTGCAATGTAGTCCCAGTCAGCACTCCTCGTGTACCACTGCTCCCTGGATCGGCCGTGAAGCTAGGGGAGAAAGTCGCGGTGAAATCTCAGCAAATGCCCCGGAGGAGGCAGGGCAGAATGGGAGTGCTCTTCCCCACACAAATGAGACGGTCCCGTCACTTCCCCAGCCCTGCTATAACGAGGATTATTTGGCTGAAACCTCTGTTCCAGAGTGCTGTGGGAACCATCTCTCTTTAGAATGGATACAAGGGTCAGGAGCACCTAGGAAAATACTCCCTGCATCTGAATTTTTCTCTGTTCTTAGCAGAAAATACTAAAAGGTAGTACTCAGCTGGTTAAAAGTGTTTGAAAGAGCTCCTCGGCCTTGGAAAGAGTAAGGTCACCCCCACAGTATGCAAACAGAGTTCCCCAGACACCAGCCAACAACCTCACGCCACAGCAAGTATCCCTGTACCGTGACCATGGCTGCTCCCCAGTCCCAGATCTTGGGGATTAATTTATGAGCTACGTTAATCTTTTCTTGCACCCCCGTCCGAATCTTCATGGTCAGCAGGACATCCAGCACCTGCAGAAAGGGGAGAGTGAAAAGGCTGGACTGGGGCAGGAGTCGGCTCCATCGGCTCCTCTCCCGCTGCCAGCAAGTGTCCTCACTCACCGAATTCATCCCGCGGACGTTCTGTTCAAACTTGTTGGATCGAGTCATCAGAGCACAGCCACCTCCCTGGGGAATAAAAAGTGACATGGTCAAGACTTTGCATCTCCTTTCCTAGTGAAGAGCCTCCTCGGAGCTGCTCGACAGCGGCCCTCTCCTCGGGGGTAAGGCTTGGAGCAGCTCAAGACTTGGAGAAAGGCGACTCTTCAACAAAAAACCAGCTCTTTTCCCACCCAAATTCTGCCTGCTGCCGGGCAGTTAACTGTTCCCTGCTCCCTGAACAGATTACTCGCCTTCTTGTAAATGAACTGGGAGGTCTGGATTGGACTGGCAGGAACGGATCAGGCAGCAGGGGATGAGGAAGAAGACAAGGATCTATTGAAAGAAGCAAAACGTCCTGCAGAACATCTTCTTACCTTCTTGTAGACCAGGTCGACGGGACACCCAATGTTGATGTCCACAAAGTCCACTTCAATTGTCTGGTTCAGGAGCTCTGCGCATTTGGTCATCGTTTCTGGAAACGCTCCCTCCAGCTGCCACAGCGGGACGGTTTGCATGAGTTCAAGAAGGAGCTTTTCTCCCCAGAAGTGAGTTATCATTCCTTTGGTTATCAAGGTGATAGCACTCACCTGCACCCCAAAAATGTCTTCGGTATGATGCCGTTTGAGGAGAGCCCACTCGGAGGACTGGCCCTGGTTTGTGCCCACAGCCATCTCTCCACAGGTGACATCTGCACCGAAGCACTTGCATATCCTCTGGAAAGGGAGGTTACCACACTGAAAGAGAGAGAATTTTGTCAGATTTGCTCTGTTCCACAATGTGGAAACATCAAATTTTGACAAAAGGAGAGAATTAGCCACCTACTGTGGTCAGCGGAGCCAAGTAGAGCTTGCATTGGATTTCCACCTGGAAAAAAAAAGGATGGAGGAGCACGTGAGCAGAGCTAAACCAGCAGTGGGGAAACAGGAAGATATTCCAGTTACCCAGTTTATGACTTGCCTTGAGTAAAATTCAGTGGGAAACCCAGGAAATCACTGGTTTTGTTTGAGAACCTCAGCTATTCCCTAAGAACGTACGGTTTGGATAAAAGAACCACAAACTCGAACCTCTCAATTTGTTTTCACTGCTCAGCTTGGAGGAAACTCAAAGCAGTGACAGAAACAGAGGGCTGCAGGACTGGCTAACGGCTGCAAGGATGGAGGGGCCGAGGAGGAGAGGAAGGAGGCAACGCTCTCACCCCAGCAGCACCCCGCGGCACAGACAAACCAGCAAGGCCCAGCCTGGGCTCTCCTTGCAGATCATTTCCACGTGCAAGGGGCTGCAGCTTGGTTCTCACCACTCTGAGGATGACAACACAACCCCAAGTGCTCACCTTCCCCCCATCTCTGCTCCAAAACGCCACATCGAGTATTCACCTTTGGCTCTGAGTACAAAAAGGAGAAAAGCAAGAAGGGGAATCCATGAGGCCCCGCAGCAGAGGGGTGCTGGTGGGTGCCTCCGGCAGTTTGGGGTGGTTGATTATCCATCCCCGATGCCACTAGATGGCAGTGACTGCTGCATTAAGTGGAACATCCCCAACGGAGCTGCCGTCCGCCCTGGGATTTCTGCTTGAGGGAGGAGATGGGGAGAGATGGAGGCGATGGGGAATGTGCTCCCCTTAGCCCGAGCAGCCCTGCCTTGCACTGAGAGGTTGGGGTCCTGCTCCTGCCTCACCTGGCACCGGGCTTTGGATGCCGTGTGCCATTGACAGACAGGTGCAGTGCTCCTGGGCAAGCACAGGGAAGTAAATTTGCCTCTCTCAGCTCTTGGGCACAGAAATCTCTTGGGGCTGCTTACTGGGCTGGTGTCCCTCTGCACTACACAGCCTGTTAGCACAGGACAGGGGTCCTGCCTGGTGTAGGCACCCAGTCAATGTGAAGTCAGGTCTGGGGGGCCCTAGGGAGGCGTTTTTTCTCTGGCAGGTAGTGCAGTGAGGTGCACAGTGCATATCTCACCCGAGAGCTGGCCAGGTATTGTGGAAGTACAGCAAAACAGATTTGAGAAGAGTTTGAGGGAGGATAACTAGTTAAGTTCAGCACTTGTTTATATCCTGACTCCTCCCATGAGTGGGATGCAACCCACCAAAAAATCCCAGGAGTGGGCTGTGGAAGGGGCATGCAGGAAACGCTTTACAGTGGGAATAAGCTCACTGACTGGGATGAGAAAGGAGAGGTAGAGAGGCTGCAGGCCATGGAGCGGTGAGAGCATGATTACAAATTGCAGGCTGCAGCGAGAGAGAACAGGGAGCCCAAGGTAGAGGCGCGGGGTAGGGGGAGACAGCATGGCCAAAGCGGTGGGTGAGGCAGAGGATCTTTGCATCAGCTTTCTCTGTCTAGGAGTTTTGAAGGTCAGAGGAAAGGTCTCTGGTGAGATACATCATCTTTTTCTCCAACCTGCAGACCACTCAGGCAATGTGCCCGCTCTGGGATGTACATCCCACGCTTCTGCAGTGGCAGCAACAGCCCACTCATGTGCCTGCTTCTCTCCTGCATCTCAGCCCCTGCGCCAGCTGCTGCTGCATGGTGGTCACTAAGACCCCAAGCCTCTGCGCCAGAAAAGGAGAGAGGTGCACAGTGCACGGTGTAAGCAGGCAAGGGACTGGGGCCTCGTGGAACCCAACTTCTCCAGTTCAAAGACAACTCTCTCTGGTGCAGCATCACACTGTAGCGTGTCTTTGCCCAGTTGAGACTGGTCTGCTAAAAAGAAACAGAGGCAGCCGTGTTAGCAGACTTGGAAGCTGTGATTCAGGAAGGTCCCGCACATCTCCTCCTGTCTGATTCTTTGAGGGAGACAAGTAATTTCTCATCTTTCCTCAGGGTTTGTGGTCTGGTTGGATATGGGGAAGCCACTTCCCTAATTCCTGGCAGGGACAGGATGCTCCCACAGACCTGTTCCTCTCCTCCGGGCAGCCTTCTCAGGCTCCAGACAGCAGCATGTTTATATCCTTTTTATTAGTCACCACTAAAATGCAATAACAAACCACTGCTCCTCTGGCAGGGTTAGGAGAGTGAGGACAGCTAGCTGGGGGGACAGTGGCTGCCGAGAGGACGGAGGACTGAAGGGTGGTGCCCTGGTGACTCTAGCTGGGCTGTGCCATGGTGGGGGTGCTGCAGCCCCCAGGAGACAGGTCCCCGGCGCACTGGCTTGTCAGCTGAGCTCCCAGGCAGAAGGGACAGCATGAGTGCCAGCGCAGCGGCAAGTCACCGCTACCCCGCAGCCGGTGGGACACAGCATCGCTGCAGTTCCCTGCCCTCAGCAGCCCCATCCACTGGGGTCTGTGCATCCTCCCAGCTCTGCCAGCCCCAAGGGGCAATGTGTTTTCTGAAATCAGCTTTCACTGGCAGCGCGTATGGTGTCCATTGTTAGAACAGTGCAGTATGCGGGGGGAGGGGGGGGAGAGACCCAGGTTTGAAGGGCTCCTTTGAAGATCTTTGTCTGAATAATACAGATGCCAGCCTAGCAAGACCCCTACGCCTGCTGAGCCCATCGCTGGGCTTTGGGGGGACCTGGGTCAGTTCTCTATGTGTGTGTATATGGAAGTATTTTTTTGCTCTTAAAAACAAAGCAAGGGAATGAAGCAGTACAGCCGCACAGCCTCCCTTATGTGCGTTTCAGGCTATATACTAAAAACAGCAGAGCACTGCTGTTAGAATGAAGGTGCTCTTTAGTATGCAGCAAAGTAATTATTTCCCAGTCAGTAGATAGGACTCCAGCCACTTGGCACTTTCTTACGTGCCCTTTTCCAATCCGAAAGAGCAACTTGGGATTCTGTGACAATTCAGGCAATCAGATGACCTCACGCACATGGCATTCATTCACTAGAAACACCACACAGATCCCATTCAGCCTCAGCACTCGTAAATCCGTGTGACACTTTTATCTATTTATAAACTTTTAACAGCAGGTTTTGATTGTTATGCAAGCCATTTTCCAGGGATTAATAAGCAGCTTGTATTGATGGCTGCGAGAAGGACCATTAACTGCTCTGGGACAGTCATTAATCTGTAGTAAATGCTCAGCATCTGGATCATTTCTACGTAATTAAATAATCAATACCACCTTTTGATTCAAATAACTGGAGAATTCTAGTTCAAATTTGTCTTGGCTTAGGGTGTTCTTAATTCTTTTCATGTACAACAGGGCAGGAAACAGGCACACGGGCAAGTGAGAGCTTCTCTTGGTGTGACTCGCTCTTAAATTACCAGCTATTTCATACAAAAGTTTCAAGTGATCAAAATGTAGTTCAAACTGGGCATCAAAACCTATTAATTGGACTAGATGGAGAAAAAAAATAATCACAGAAGAAATCACAAAATAATGACAAAAAATAATCACCTTTTTGTGTTGGTGCAGAGTTCTTTCATTATGGGAACAAAATAACGGTCTTTGAGTGACCCAACACTGGGAGGTAGCCTGGCAGAACTCAAGTTATCAAACAGAAACTCCCCCTGCCCAGCCACCTCCAGAAAAGCCCTTTTGATTCATTACCCATCTGGCTAACATGACCTCTGTGTCCTCAGGCAGATGGGGTTTTGGTCTTCATTTCTCTTTCCCCTCTTCCCCTCCCTCTCCTTTTCTCTCCCTGGGCAGTGGTATAAGTCCCTCCTCTGGTTTTGGTTTGTTCTCATCATTGCTGTCGAACCCAGTGGTCTGCAGAGGTGCTGACAGGTGAAGGTAATGGTGCCCATTGCAAACCCGGTCAGGGAAGAGCAACACTGCAGTGGTGCTGCTGCCTTCTCCATGGAGAGCTGGGGAAATGCCTGGGCAGGCAGAGCTCATCACAGGTGAGAACAGATAAGTGAGATTTGAAAACATGACTTTCAGAAGAAAGAAAGAGACTTTCTGTATCATCACAGGATCATATGTTAATTCCCATCCTTTTGAGGGATGTTTGTTTCACTTGATAACAAATCTGAACCTTACCATAAGCACATGATGGATGAATGATGACTCACCTTCACTGTTACCTAGAAAAAAAGCAAACACTCATACAGTTAGTTATCTATTCATATTTTGAGGCTGGAAAGAGAGGAAGTTGTTTTTGCAAGAAGTAAGAGAGGAATATCTCTGACCCGATAGCAAAGCTTTCAGATGTAGCTACTGTGAAGACACTTATGAAGTTAGGCATGAAGAGATAAAGAAAAGGGGACACTGGCCATCATGAATTCAGATCAGCTAAGGGATAGCTGAGTTTGTGAGTGCAAGGGCTTCCCTTTAAAAGAGAGCAGAGAGGAGAGGATGTGCTGAAACCTGAGAAGAACAAGGAGCTAGAAGATGAGAGGACTGCAAGCCATAAGGGATGCAAGACCAGGCTGGATGAGGCTTTGAGCAACCTGGTCTAGTGGAGGGTGTCCCTGCCCATGGCAGGGGGATTGGAACTTGATGATCTTTAAGGTCCTTTCCAACCCAAACCATTTTATGATTCTATGATAAAAGTATCTGAAAGGGCTAGCTGGAAAAGCAAAGCAAGGATAATTTGTAGCAAAAGGAAGAACCCAGGATAAGAAGGAAGAACCAGCAGATGACAATAGCTTTGTCTGGGGAAAAAGTTGCTGCAATCAAATTGCTGTCAATCTGGGGATGAGAAGGGGACAAGAGCAAACTAGGAAAGGATTTTAGTATCATTATGAAAACAAAGCAGCAGGTTTAAATCAAAAGGTCTTTGGATCAGGGGATGTGCCTAATCATGCATTCATACAGTGACTGACAGAATGGGGCTTTTGTCTTGACTTGAGCCTCTGAGAGTTGTCAGAAACAAACACTACACCATGGCAAGCTGCACCAGGACCTCCGAGATATACACAGGAGAATAAAAATGAGAGGATGAAGGGGAGTGCTCATCCCACATAGTGTGGAAAGCAATCACACGTTCCCAAAGGCCCAGCAGGGACAGCTAACAGAGATTTCTCCAGCTGTCTCAGTATCCATCCTATTTAGGTAATGCCTAACATGGGCTGTGCCTGCCAGGGCAGAGCTGGTCTAATGGCTCTCAACTCCCCAAAGGAGGAGGTGTCCCTTGTCATCTGTGGGTAGCTGTGACAGGAGTGCACCACGTAGGGACTGGGTTCCCGCAGGCTCAGGTCTGCGGCAGCACTGCTGGGTCCCCTCTGCCAGTGCCTTTCCAGCCCCTCTGCAGTGAGTGCCTGGGGAGCCGCAGGGGAAGGGACTGCTCCTCTCCAAATCAGGGTGGGAGAATCACCCCCAAGCCCCTGTCCTCCCTGATAAAACCCCATGCCAGGACCCTGCCAGAGCAGCAGAAGGGGATCTGTAAACTTGGAAAGAGCAGACTCTATCTCAAAGGCATACAGTGCCACAGGGCTGCAGATTGAAGCTGGAATTTCCAATAAGAGGTTGTTAAAATCCTTTAGAGGTCATACATGAGCAACCAGAATTTGAGCATGGCTTTTTCTTTAGGAATTCTCAACAGTGCTCGTGTGTGTTATTCTGAAACACACAGATAAAACACTCCCTCGGTCTATTTTTTCTTGTACTAGAATCTGGATATTGTTATGCAGATTTCCACCATAGCAAAATTACAGCAGAATAAATAGCTCTGCTATACACGAAGGGGAATCCTCTTACATCTTCAGTAACTCTCAGTAAGCATCATTGCTATTATACCAATTGAAGAGACAGAAAACAATTTTTAATTAAAAATATTTATAGCAGGCATAATACCAACTGCCAGTTTCACTATCCAGTGAATGCATTTTGCAGCTGGTACTAATTCTCTCTTATTTCCATGAGGTTAGCCAATATCAGCTGTTCATTAAGCAGAGGACATTTCAGGAGTATCCATATTATATGCTGTAACTAACTGAGAAGTTCTTCCTTTGACGGATTTTAGGAAATCAAGATTGCTTTGCTATGTTATTCTGGAACTTCATAATAGAGAGGTCATTTCCCAGTGATCTCAGTGGGCTGCATCATCAGTTTTATTCAAATCAATCCTACAAACTGCTTTCCAGCAGATAAGAACATTTTAATTAGCAATATGTCTTTTGTCTTCTATCTGCAGTGGAGTAGGGGGTGGGAAATTGATTTCAGCACGCCCTTTATTTTACTGGGAGAGCAGCATAATCAGAAGGTGTCAGCAGAAACACGGGCAAATCAATTTTGAGATACAGAGCTTCGTACAGCCAACCGCACGGCTGTTCCTTGTGCTGAGTCCAGCCGGGCTGTGTGGGCAAGTTCACTGCTGCTGACGGCACCAGGCGTTCCAGGGGCAAAGTCTGATATGGCTTTCTTGGGTGAGTGGCGTGGTAGCAATTGGCTGTCTCATGCTGAAAGGCTCACGCTTTCTGTGACAGAGAGCACGTAAGATCTCAGTTCCTGTCCTGGTTAGATGTATGTATCAGAAAATGTGTTTGTGAGTAGCTGTAGATGATGGCCAGCTGTCCCAAGGAGAGGTAAGAGTTGCTGTAAGCTGTAAGCTGTTGCTGTAAGCTGTAAGATTCTGCTGCAGCCGTAACTCAGGCTCAGAGGAAACCAGCAGGCAGAGGATGGGGCCCACAGGAGCCCTGTTCCTACATATCTCCCTTCCTCCTCCCTCTCTATGCCAGGGGAAATCCAGAGCTGTGTCTCCACCAGTTTTGTGCCCACAAGAAGCTCTGTCCCCGTAAATGCAGGGATTGAGAGAGTCAGTTTGTCCTTGGTTCACATTCATGTGGCTCAGAGGGGACTTGGCATGCTGAAGGCTCCAGCCCATAAAATCTAACGCAAAACTTCTTGTTCACTGTATTCACCCTGGGATAGCTGGCAGCCCATCCAGTGAGGAAATCCCCATGTGATTTATCAAAGTAGCAGCTGGGAACTGACAAACCAAGTGGCTCATCATAACCTGGCTTGTGACTTGCTAAATCCCATATGGTTATTGTTTTTCACTTTAAAATATTAGCAGTGAGTTTCAAAATCCAGAATTTAGCAAGCTGTGTTTCATAATTGGAAAGTTCAAACCGTATTTGAATCTGTGAAGTCATTTACAACATGCTTATCCTCCCACCCGCAATAGATTTTACAGCAATTTCCCCTGGCTCGAATCCCCAGTGGCAGCAGAGGAGCCCAGGAGACCGAGCTGGAAAGGCAAGCGATGTGAAATGGTGGAGAGGGGGATCTGTGAAAGGAGCAGAGGTTGTCCCAGGAGGTGATTCAGAATAAGAGTTTAATATAGGGAGGTGCTCTGAGCCACTCCCAGGGGGGCTTTCCCCCTTCCACTGCCTGCAGACTGACCTATGAAGAGCAGCTGCTGTCACTTAATTAGCCTTTGTGAATATTCTGCTTTAATCCATCTTTAAAGCTTGCGAAAGCCTAACATGTCCATGTGCTGATCTTGCTCTAGGCAAGCATTGTGCCAGTCATCAACAGCTTCAAGAAGCTGAGCTCCACCAGCTCCGTATAGGAATGTCCAAGCTGTTACATCTGTTTTCTTTTACCTGCAGGGAAATAAGTCTTTCAGGCAACCAAGGAGCCAACCCTTTCTCCTTGCACAGGTGGCAATAAAGGCTTCCAGAGCACTTTGGACTGAGCATATGGAATACAGTCACCACAGCAGTCCCAGATCTGACTTTAGTCATTATGCCCTAGGCTGGCTCTGATTTTAGCTGTTCCCCTCAGTAGTTTGTGAAGGTGCGCAGTGTGCATTCGAGTGATGTGCTGTTTATTTCCTAATGATAGCAAGCAAAGTTTCAGTGAAAAAAACAATACCAGGCAACCCTCTGGAGAGGTGGTCTCTGAACAAGTGGAACAGCAGAGTGTGAAGCATTCCTTCTCATGCTACTCATCTTTTTCGTCAGCTGTTCATTAAATGACATATGGAAAAGCAAACTGTTATTTTCACCAAATGTTCTGTCTGGGTTTAAGGAGAGTTCAAATGTTGAACAATACTGAGTTTGCACCAGCCCAGACAAAGGGGAGCTGGGCAATCTAGTCAACTCTACAGTGAGCTCGAGGACCTGGGTATCCATCACCAGAGCCTCTACTAAGCTTGACCAACCACTTTCCTAACTTTAACTGTAAATTTTCAAAGGCAGGAACCTTCTCTAACTATGTGTCTGTACAGGAGGATTTGAGTTGATCTTGTGTGAGATACAGCTGCAGCACAGGCTGCTGGCTGCTGAACTTTGGGTTGGTTGTAAAGCCCTATCTGATGCGGAAGGAAACACAACAGAGCTGGTGGGTGGCAAAGCAGCTATTAAAACAACCATTTCAAATAAAATGTCACAGACTGAAGGTTGATTTATAAAATTTCATTTTTGCATACCACTGGGCAGAAGAAAAGAGCCCATCTGTTCTCCAAGCATTGCACATTGTTAAGCAAACTACTTGCAGCTTGGCAAACCAGAACATTAGAAGAAAAAAAAAAAAAGCCACCATAGATGAGCATGCATACAAGATGAGTCGTTGAAGTTTACCCAAAAGCAACATAAAAATTATGGTTTTTGCCAGGAAGCTATGCCAGAGTATTCTCACAGGCTTGGCTCGCCAGGACAGGCAGACAGAGAGAGAAAGCGTCAGGGAATAGGGGCTCATTCTTCTGCCACCGAGGCTGGCGAGGGCTGCTTGGCTGCTCGCTGTGGGGAGAATGCGTGTGTTTGTCTTAGCAGACAAGGGGCACCATTATCACATACCTCAGCAGGGTTGTGGATGTCAACCAAATAATTGGTTTTATTTAGAATATGACATCGAAATGGTGAATGAGGCATTTTGGGTGTCCTGGAAAGATTTTATATACAAACCAGCTGGAATCCCATTGACAGGAACAGCCTCTTCCTTTCCCTCGCCCCCCTGCCCATTACTTGCAGTGAGACAGAGCTGGAAGTGGCTGAGAGGAGCTCCAAGAAGCCTGTGCCTTTGAGCAGTAAAGCCTACTGTTGCTGAACATCTGACACTTTTTTCATTAAGAGGGACCCAGGCAAGCATTTCATCATTGAGATGAGTATTTAATACATGAATGGGTAGCGAGAAAACA